AAGGCAAATTTAGAATATTTATGAATAATGCTTGTCATTATTAAGATGAGTGTGCTTTTTGTTTGAATTCTCTTTTTGATTGAGCAATGGTATAAATTTCCTTTTTGAATTTAAGTTATAACTTATTTTGCTACTGCATAGTATTGCATAAAGTAGACAATCATATGTACGTTTAAATTTATGGGTTCAACATTAAAAAAATCAGTAATCTAATTCGAAAAAGTTATTTTACAATTATACTTAAGACTGAAGACGCTAGATTGTGATGAAATGTCTTTTGTTCGAGATATTTCTTTCTTTTGTTAAGAATAACTTACTAGGGTAACAAGAGATCATAATTATATAAATAGCATATTTGATTTTGGCATAAAATGTCTAATGCTAATTTAGAATAAAGACAATGTAGATAATAAAATTAGCAATAGCGCTAACCGTAAAGTATTTCTGAGGCACATGGTTATTGAGTTGATATCGATGTTGGATTGATCGATTAAGCATGATGCATATATTGTAATAGTCTCTTTTAGATTACACGTTCAACATCTTAATATTTATTTGTGTGTGTTTGTTTTCTAATTTATCATGCTAATGTGATTTTAATTTTTATTATCAGTGCTTTTGTTTGGTACTGCAATAATCGTGCTTATAATTAATATATTGTGACGGGAATGATTGTGTTTTATCGTGCTAGAATGATCATGCTTATAATTAAAATATAAACCTTAAATATGGTGCTTTTTGAATAAAATCTTCTACAAAAAATATCTTTTTAAAAAAATTTACCACTTAATCAACAGTCATATCAAACTGCTTAAATAGTCCAAATAAAATCGAATTAGAAACTTCTGAGCTAGGAGATTATCCTCAAAGTCCCACAATTACTTATAAAGAAAAAAAAAATAATATAGCACAATGGTCATTTAAATATTTTATAGAGACAGAAGAGTTTTATCCAGATATTTCTCAACTTCGCTATACATTGCCTCCTAAAAAGTATTCAATCCCTGATAATTATTCTGTGAGAACCAGCTGGGGACATGGTGAAAATCAGCAAACCGTTCAGTGTAAAATAGTATATAAAAATGGAAGCCCGGAATTTCAAATTCGATTTGGTAACTTTCTTGAATATAAAGTTAAATCGTGTATATATGCTTCCATGGCTGCAACAAATTATGGAAAGGCTATAAATAAAACGAGTCGATTATCTGGACCATTGTTGTTAGGATTACAGCTCCAGACGCTTAGAGAATCTTGAAATAGGAAATATTTAATTAATTCGACAAATCGTAATAAGCGTCCAAGACAAGATTTAATTAAATCTGCAGGTCATTGTTCCAAATCAGCACTTGATAAGCGTGCAAAAGATGTTGCAGCAATGATTAAAGAAACATTTATTCAAAATTCTGTGTTTAAATATCATAAAAAAGACTCTATTTTATTAAAGTCGTTTGAATATACTGTTAACGGCCAGAATTATTATCTTAGCTTTGGAACAGATAATGCACAAAAAGAGTATGATATTTTAAATATAGTTAAAATAATGGATTCGAATTATATTTCTCATGATGCTTATCGAAGTTTAGCTGCAATAGATTATCACTTACCACGTGAACACCTTGTTGTAATTGAACGAAATAATTTAACCCAAAGAATGACTAAAGACATTCCAATTAAACTTGTTGATATAAACACGAAACTAGATAGCTTGGAAATTGTTGAAGATGATGTTGAAGATGTTGAAGAAGATGTTGAAGAAGGGTCTGATAATATAGATTATAATAAAGTTCTAAACTCAGTGGGTGTTGGTGGATATCGTGATTGTAAAGAAATTCTTTGATATCTAATTCCTTATTTAGTACGTGAAGATATATTATCAATTAATAATCTGATAATCCATTTGCAAATTTCTGGTGATGGCCGAAATGTAGGTCAGAAAGTTAAACATGTTATGACCTTCATGATTCTTAATGATCAAGAGCACCATCATATACCTAGTTATCACCATACTATCGCGTTATATCCAGGAATTGAGAAATATAAGTCGCTTGAGGTCATATTAAATCCATTTCTCAATAATCTTAGAGATCTTAAGGTTAACGGGTTGGAGGTTGAAGGTATTTTTTGGCACTTTGAACTGTATTTTAGTAGTGATTGGAAATTTCTCTCAATCTGTCTTGGACTAAATGCAGCCAATTCGAATCATTTTTGTGCTTGGTGTCTTTGTTCCAAGCATGAAATTGGTGATATAATACAGGACTGGTGTATTACAAAGTCAATGAGCGATTTAAAAAATAACAACTATATTAACATACCTGGTCATATCAAACTGCCACTATTTGATATGATTCCTTTGTCCAACTATGTATTTGATGAGCTGCATGCATTATTACGGGTTGATTATCGGCTCTGGACTTTAATGTTGTCATAAATTAAAGAACGGAATTTATTTAATAATATCAGCCGCCAAATTATCGTGGATGAAATGGATCGTCTCGGTATCAAATTTCAGTTTTGGGAAGAATCCACCAAGTGGAAATACACATCATTGTCTGGCGATGATAAAATTAAAGTATTAAAATATTTTAATTTATCTACTCTTTTTCGCCCAAGCTGAGCCCAACTAATTCAGTCTTTGTGAGACAAATTTATTGAACTATATATGGTGATGTGTAATCAAGATAGTGACCCTTTATATTTAAAGCATCTGGCATTCGAATGGTTAAAACTTTTTCTAAAACCCGATGAAAGAGATCCAAAAAATCCGCAAAAGGCCTCTATTTACCAAATCATGTAACTCCCTACATTCATTTTTTAGTGTTTCACAGATGGGAGTTACATCAAAACCATAAACGATGGGGGTTAAAAGCATTTTCTTGTAGCACAGTTGAAAAAAAAAATCATATGCAAGTATCTTTTTTTTTTCGAAAAACTACTATGAATGGTGGAATTCTTAAAAATAATGCAGCTACAATTAAAATTTTAGAACATGAATCACGGAATCTTTTTTTTATTTATAATGACCCTCCTAGACAAAAAGTTAAAAAACTTCGTATTAATTAAATAATAATATACTAAGTTGTGTAACATAATTACATTATTTTACCGTTTGATCAGCGTGTGAAATTCAATTTTGATTTTTCTTCAATTCCTTAATATTCTCGGTATAAAAGTATAATAACTAAACATTTTATTAGATAGAGTAGTAAATTATGTTCTCAGAATATTGAGAACATTGAATTTCGCACAATAACATTTACTAAAAAACAATTTACCATAAAATATGTAGTACGTAGCAAATATGCTTTAACATAATTCTAAAATCTTTAGTAAAAGGAAGGTAGAGCGTTTGGCCCGAATCTTTGACCTTTATCATATTTAAATAAGGATTCTTGATCAGTGTTGTTGACTAGAAGCCTCGCTGGAACTCTACTGGAAGAAAATTACAGTAATAATACCACTGAAACTTTTACTATTGCAAATTTCTACTGGAAGTTTAAAAATTCCCACTAAAAGCAAAATTTAACAACACTGATCTTGATTTTGAACGCTATATCAAACGTACAAGCCCCAACAGCTAAGTATTAGATTTTGATTTTATATTGTTATTTGCTTCAGCTTACTAATGCCTCTGTATTTTTCTAAGTAATAGTAGTGGGTCATGCAATTAGTGATTCACGGACTAAATTCAGAAGAGTATTCATATCATGTAATTGGATTAATTTATTTGAATTTTACTCGAGTTATTTGAGCCACAATTTAAATTTGTAGTTATTACAAATATAATTCACTGGTAAAAAATAAAAAATTTGATGTGTCGAATGGCACTATTTGAATGCTATTCGAATAGTGCCATTCGATACATCAAATTTTTTATTTTTTATTAGTATCAGCCCAGAATTAGTTGAACTCAGCTTGGAACTGTCAATTTTGATAGCTCACATCTCATGTAATTATAATTCATTTACGAATTAGTTATTTGAATTATTAGTTGGCGAATTTAATCATTAACACCAGGTTTTTCTTCATTTACAATAGGTTAAGTTAAAAAGTTATAGTCACATATAGTTATTGGTGAATCACGGAATTAGTATTTTCAGGATATATTTTTTTGATAAAGTGCATTTTTTAATAGAGGTGTTTACTATAATTTATTTGAGTTAATAAATATTTTCACTATACTATTATCACTAATTTCATTCGATTAATAGGTAAAAATGAACATTTATTTAACCAAGTATTTGGAATAACTCTCGAAGTCCCTGAATATTACTATACTCTCCAAAGTATGATTCATCAGTTTAGTTAAATGTGTACTATGAAAGTTGCCATTACATTATACTGTTGAACCTCCCAAAATCGGTATGCACGGTGGGCAGATTTTGTATCAGTATTGAGAGGTTATCAGATTTGAAAACTATTAGATTTATATAACGGAAACGGACTTGGTAAGGCTAATTTTTTATCAGATTTAACAGGTTATCGATTTTGGGAGGGTCAACAGTATCTTATTTTCGTTCACGTTAATTAGCAGGTAGATATAAAAGAACGTCAATTAATTGGAATATTTGACATAGGTTATACAAGTTCGTCACACTATTTCTAGCTTTTTTTTATTACTTTAATTCATGGATGGTTATCATTTTTAATTCTACTTTATTCGCCTTAATCCTAGCATATAGTAAGTTATTCATATTTGTATTTTTATATGATGTATATTTAAGTTCATTAAATTGAGTGAATAAATAAAAAAAAAAGGGTTAATTCTGTAATTAATTAAGTCAGGAAATCAGTTATAATATTAAATTTTACCATTTGGATCTTTTTTAATTTTATTTTATTTGTTTTGATTTAATGAGAATAAAAATTATTGATTAACGGATCTAATAATAATAAGCCATTCAAGTTTGTAGCATTATCTCGAAAAGAATAGCTTTGGCTGGTTATGTGTTGGAAGAATGCCGGCAAGCCAAAGGTGCCAGAAATAAATTCAATTAAAGGACTTGGCTGAGTAATTGGACTGAAACGATGATATGCTTCCAGGAAAATTAGCATGAGATTGCGCCGGGTATCATTATAACAATAGAACGAGTGAGAGCAGCATCAGTCGGTTGTTTCCCGCTAGTTCGAAGCAGGTCGGCTGTTAAAAGAAAATAGCAGAATCAGGAACTGTGTTCCAAATAAGCGGCATTATTTCGTATATTTCATACTAAACTAAACTGTTATAGTATTCACATTTATTTACAAGGCTTTAAAATTTTGGCATACAAACATGAAAGAAAAAAACACTTCAAAAATTAAGAAAATTTATTGTTATCTCAGAAATATCATACTATATACTTGTTAGTAACTAAATACCCGGAATTAAATCAAGACATATATTTATTAAAAAGAAACACTAGAACAGAATGAAAATATTATCAATTTAATTCAACACAAATTACTTATTTTATCATTCTAATTTGACACAATATTTACGATTACCTATATGGAAAGCACACATCTTTGCGATATATAAAAAGATAAGTATATAAATCCTGCAGTACAAGTATGTCCATCTATTTCTTTGACGATTTTTTATTTCCATTCTACCAGAAGCTCACCCCGAGAAAATTTTGGTTTTTTTTTTTTTTTTGATTATTTAATTGCTCCAGAGGATCAATATCATCATTATCTTGATTTTTGTTATTGGTATTTGATAATTGTTCAAGAACGACATACGTTTGTTGATTTTGATCATAACACTTTTGACCCCATTTGGGATTTTCCAAAATTTGCGTCAAAGTTGAATATGCAGACTCACCATGAAATCTACATTTATATACCCGTGGATTATTTGAAAAATGGTGAACATGACCCCTAAAAACAGCAATAAATTGACTTTCGGTACACGGGACTGATAGTACCTTTCTTCCCATTTTAGTAAAATTTAATGACAATTGGCGATGTATTTGCTGAATTAAAATATTCTTAAACTCATGCAATGTTTTGACTGGAATTTCGTCAATATCACTGTGTGGCATGTTATACTTTTCAATTGTATTACAATGTTGTTTATAGCCATTTTCTGATTTAAACTTTCGAAAGCAAATTGGGCAAGAGATCAAAGAAATAGATATTAAATTTTGTGAAGAAGTAGATGATAGTAAACTCATGATTAAAAGACAACTTCCCTTTTTATTAATGGTTAGCGAAAGTATTCCTTTTATAAAGAGAAAGTTATGCAAATCGCTCTTTTAAAGATAACAATATACATGATGTCAAACGATATGTCCTAGTAGGGCTTATACGTCAAATTATATGTCCTAATAAGGCTTAGACATGTCCTAATAAGGATTAGACGTCAAATGAAATGCCCGAATAGGGCTCTAACCAGTAGGAATGAGATGGGTTTTTGGCTGGGACAGATGGGTTTGACGCATGATTTTGCATAGTCATTATATCCTTAAAATTATTTAAGGTATAGTTTAAAATTATTAGGGCATAATCGAGTAATTGTTCTGTGTATTTGACCAATTAAATATGATAAAATATAGGGTCCAAATTAAAATTTGGTGTCTCTAACTAAGGCCCAATTCCGCCGATTCGCCCATATGATAGAAATAATATAACATTAACCAAACATATACAATACAATACTCTATATTACATTGCAATAGCCGGTGAGTAATACGGAATAAGAAAATTTTTAAATTAGCAAAGTCAATTATATTCCAATAGAAATAATATACCATTAACAATCCATATACAATACAATACTCTATATTACAATAGTTAGTAAGTAATACGGAATAAGAAAATTTTTAAGTCAGAAAGTCAATTATATTCCAACAGAAATAATATAACATTAACCAACCCATATACAATACAATACTCTATATTACATTACAATAGCCTGTAAGTAATAAGGAATAAGAAAATTTTAAATTCAGAAAAGTCGATTATATTCCAATAGAAATAATATAACATTAACAATTCATATACAATACAATACTCTATATTACGATAGTTAGTAAGTAATACGGAATAAGAAAATTTTTAAATCAGAAAAGTCGTCGATTATATTCTAACAGCAATAATATAACATAAACCAACCCATATACAATACAATATATTACATTACAATAGCCTGTAAGTAATACGGAATAAGAAATTTTTTAAATTCAAAAAAGTCGATTATATTCCAACAGAAATAATATTAACCAATCCATATACAATACAATACTCAATATTACGACAGTGAGTAAGTAATACGGAATAAGAAAAATTTTAAATCAAAAAAGTCGATTGTATTCCAACAGAAATAATATAACCAATCCATATACAATACAATACTCTATATTACATTACAATAGCCTGTAAGTAATACGAAATAAGAAAATTTTTAAATTCAGAAAAGTCAATTATATTCCAATAGAAATAACATTATCCAATCCAATACTCCATTTTATACTACAATAACCGGTGAGTAATACGGAATAAGAAAATTTTTAAATCCGAAAATTCGATTATATTCTATAACATTAACCAATCCATATACAATACAATACTCTATATTACGATAGTTAGTAAGTAATACGGAATAAAAAAATTTTAAATCAGAAAAATCGATTATAACATTAACCAACCCATCTACAATACAATACTCTATATTACGACAGTGAGTAAGTATTACTGAATAAGAAATTTTTTAAATTCAGAAAAGTCGATTATATTCCAACAGAAATAATATTAACCAATCCATATACAATACAATACCCTATATTACGATAGTTAGTAAGTAATACGGAATAAGAAAATTTTTAAATCAGAAAAGTCGATTATATTCCATCGAAAAATAATGTGACATTAACCAATCCATATACAATACAATAATGCTCTATATTACATTACGATAGCCGGTGAGTAATATGGAATAAGAAAATTTTTAAATCAGAAAAGTCGATTATATTCCAACAGAAATAATGACACTAACCAATCCATATACAATACAATGCTCTATATTACACTACAATAGCCGGTGAGTAATACGGAATAAGAAAATTTTTAAATCAGAGAAGTCAATTATATTCCAACAAAATAATGGCATTAACCAATCCATATACAATGCAATACTCCATATTACACTACCAAAGCCTCCTTTAGCAAGATACTTTATATTTGTAAATTTATCAAAAGGTATCCATTCGATAACATCTTTAGAATACTGTGCTTTAAGTTGTATTTGTTGAATAAAGTTGTCAATATCTGGATTGCCACTTGTCCATTTCCAGAACTCGTTTTCAAACCTTAAATGTTGCAAAATATAATATACTACTTTAATATCAGTAATGTTAAGAGAACAGTACAGAAAATTTTCTTATTCCGTATTACTTACTGACTATTGTAAAGTGATATAAAGTATTGTATTGTATATGGATTGGTTAAAGTCATATTATTTCTGATTGAATATAATCGACTTTCTGATTTAAAAATTTTCTTATTCTGTATTACTCACCGGCTATGGTAGTGTAATATGGAGTATTGCATTGTATATGGATTGGTTAATGCCATTATTTTGTTGGAATATAATTGACTTCTCTGATTTAAAAATTTTCTTATTCCGTATTACTCACCGGCTATTGTAGTGTAATATAGAGCATTGTATTGTATATGGATTGGTTAGTGTCATTATTTCTGTTGGAATATAATCGACTTTTCTGATTTAAAAATTTTCTTATTCCATATTACTCACCGGCTATCGTAATGTAATATAGAGCATTATTGTATTGTATATGGATTGGTTAATGTCACATTATTTTTCGATGGAATATAATCGACTTTTCTGATTTAAAAATTTTCTTATTCCGTATTACTTACTAACTATCGTAATATAGGGTATTGTATTGTATATGGATTGGTTAATATTATTTCTGTTGGAATATAATCGACTTTTCTGAATTTAAAAAATTTCTTATTCAGTAATACTTACTCACTGTCGTAATATAGAGTATTGTATTGTAGATGGGTTGGTTAATGTTATAATCGATTTTTCTGATTTAAAATTTTTTTATTCCGTATTACTTACTAACTATCGTAATATAGAGTATTGTATTGTATATGGATTGGTTAATGTTATAGAATATAATCGAATTTTCGGATTTAAAAATTTTCTTATTCCGTATTACTCACCGGTTATTGTAGTATAAAATGGAGTATTGGATTGGATAATGTTATTTCTATTGGAATATAATTGACTTTTCTGAATTTAAAAATTTTCTTATTTCGTATTACTTACAGGCTATTGTAATGTAATATAGAGTATTGTATTGTATATGGATTGGTTATATTATTTCTGTTGGAATACAATCGACTTTTTTGATTTAAAATTTTTCTTATTCCGTATTACTTACTCACTGTCGTAATATTGAGTATTGTATTGTATATGGATTGGTTAATATTATTTCTGTTGGAATATAATCGACTTTTTTGAATTTAAAAAATTTCTTATTCCGTATTACTTACAGGCTATTGTAATGTAATATATTGTATTGTATATGGGTTGGTTTATGTTATATTATTGCTGTTAGAATATAATCGACGACTTTTCTGATTTAAAAATTTTCTTATTCCGTATTACTTACTAACTATCGTAATATAGAGTATTGTATTGTATATGAATTGTTAATGTTATATTATTTCTATTGGAATATAATCGACTTTTCTGAATTTAAAATTTTCTTATTCCTTATTACTTACAGGCTATTGTAATGTAATATAGAGTATTGTATTGTATATGGGTTGGTTAATGTTATATTATTTCTGTTGGAATATAATTGACTTTCTGACTTAAAAATTTTCTTATTCCGTATTACTTACTAACTATTGTAATATAGAGTATTGTATTGTATATGGATTGTTAATGGTATATTATTTCTATTGGAATATAATTGACTTTGCTAATTTAAAAATTTTCTTATTCCGTATTACTCACCGGCTATTGCAATGTAATATAGAGTATTGTATTGTATATGTTTGGTTAATGTTATATTATTTCTATCATATGGGCGAATCGGCGGAATTGGGCCTTAGTTAGAGACACCAAATTTTAATTTGGACCCTATATTTTATCATATTTAATTGGTCAAATACACAGAACAATTACTCGATTATGCCCTAATAATTTTAAACTATACCTTAAATAATTTTAAGGATATAATGACTATGCAAAATCATGCGTCAAACCCATCTGTCCCAGCCAAAAACCCATCTCATTCCTACTGGTTAGAGCCCTATTCGGGCATTTCATTTGACGTCTAATCCTTATTAGGACATGTCTAAGCCTTATTAGGACATATAATTTGACGTATAAGCCCTACTAGGACATATCGTTTGACATCATGTATATTGTTATCTTTAAAAGAGCGATTTGCATAACTTTCTCTTTATAAAAGGAATACTTTCGCTAACCATTAATAAAAAGGGAAGTTGTCTTTTAATCATGAGTTTACTATCATCTACTTCTTCACAAAATTTAATATCTATTTCTTTGATCTCTTGCCCAATTTGCTTTCGAAAGTTTAAATCAGAAAATGGCTATAAACAACATTGTAATACAATTGAAAAGTATAACATGCCACACAGTGATATTGACGAAATTCCAGTCAAAACATTGCATGAGTTTAAGAATATTTTAATTCAGCAAATACATCGCCAATTGTCATTAAATTTTACTAAAATGGGAAGAAAGGTACTATCAGTCCCGTGTACCGAAAGTCAATTTATTGCTGTTTTTAGGGGTCATGTTCACCATTTTTCAAATAATCCACGGGTATATAAATGTAGATTTCATGGTGAGTCTGCATATTCAACTTTGACGCAAATTTTGGAAAATCCCAAATGGGGTCAAAAGTGTTATGATCAAAATCAACAAACGTATGTCGTTCTTGAACAATTATCAAATACCAATAACAAAAATCAAGATAATGATGATATTGATCCTCTGGAGCAATTAAATAATCAAAAAAAAAAAAAAAACCAAAATTTTCTCGGGGTGAGCTTCTGGTAGAATGGAAATAAAAAATCGTCAAAGAAATAGATGGACATACTTGTACTGCAGGATTTATATACTTATCTTTTTATATATCGCAAAGATGTGTGCTTTCCATATAGGTAATCGTAAATATTGTGTCAAATTAGAATGATAAAATAAGTAATTTGTGTTGAATTAAATTGATAATATTTTCATTCTGTTCTAGTGTTTCTTTTTAATAAATATATGTCTTGATTTAATTCCGGGTATTTAGTTACTAACAAGTATATAGTATGATATTTCTGAGATAACAATAAATTTTCTTAATTTTTGAAGTGTTTTTTTCTTTCATGTTTGTATGCCAAAATTTTAAAGCCTTGTAAATAAATGTGAATACTATAACAGTTTAGTTTAGTATGAAATATACGAAATAATGCCGCTTATTTGGAACACAGTTCCTGATTCTGCTATTTTCTTTTAACAGCCGACCTGCTTCGAACTAGCGGGAAACAACCGACTGATGCTGCTCTCACTCGTTCTATTGTTATAATGATACCCGGCGCAATCTCATGCTAATTTTCCTGGAAGCATATCATCGTTTCAGTCCAATTACTCAGCCAAGTCCTTTAATTGAATTTATTTCTGGCACCTTTGGCTTGCCGGCATTCTTCCAACACATAACCAGCCAAAGCTATTCTTTTCGAGATAATGCTACAAACTTGAATGGCTTATTATTATTAGATCCGTTAATCAATAATTTTTATTCTCATTAAATCAAAACAAATAAAATAAAATTAAAAAAGATCCAAATGGTAAAATTTAATATTATAACTGATTTCCTGACTTAATTAATTACAGAATTAACCCTTTTTTTTTTATTTATTCACTCAATTTAATGAACTTAAATATACATCATATAAAAATACAAATATGAATAACTTACTATATGCTAGGATTAAGGCGAATAAAGTAGAATTAAAAATGATAACCATCCATGAATTAAAGTAATAAAAAAAAGCTAGAAATAGTGTGACGAACTTGTATAACCTATGTCAAATATTCCAATTAATTGACGTTCTTTTATATCTACCTGCTAATTAACGTGAACGAAAATAAGATACTGTTGACCCTCCCAAAATCGATAACCTGTTAAATCTGATAAAAAATTAGCCTTACCAAGTCCGTTTCCGTTATATAAATCTAATAGTTTTCAAATCTGATAACCTCTCAATACTGATACAAAATCTGCCCACCGTGCATACCGATTTTGGGAGGTTCAACAGTATAATGTAATGGCAACTTTCATAGTACACATTTAACTAAACTGATGAATCATACTTTGGAGAGTATAGTAATATTCAGGGACTTCGAGAGTTATTCCAAATACTTGGTTAAATAAATGTTCATTTTTACCTATTAATCGAATGAAATTAGTGATAATAGTATAGTGAAAATATTTATTAACTCAAATAAATTATAGTAAACACCTCTATTAAAAAATGCACTTTATCAAAAAAATATATCCTGAAAATACTAATTCCGTGATTCACCAATAACTATATGTGACTATAACTTTTTAACTTAACCTATTGTAAATGAAGAAAAACCTGGTGTTAATGATTAAATTCGCCAACTAATAATTCAAATAACTAATTCGTAAATGAATTATAATTACATGAGATGTGAGCTATCAAAATTGACAGTTCCAAGCTGAGTTCAACTAATTCTGGGCTGATACTAATAAAAAATAAAAAATTTGATGTATCGAATGGCACTATTCGAATAGCATTCAAATAGTGCCATTCGACACATCAAATTTTTTATTTTTTACCAGTGAATTATATTTGTAATAACTACAAATTTAAATTGTGGCTCAAATAACTCGAGTAAAATTCAAATAAATTAATCCAATTACATGATATGAATACTCTTCTGAATTTAGTCCGTGAATCACTAATTGCATGACCCACTACTATTACTTAGAAAAATACAGAGGCATTAGTAAGCTGAAGCAAATAACAATATAAAATCAAAATCTAATACTTAGCTGTTGGGGCTTGTACGTTTGATATAGCGTTCAAAATCAAGATCAGTGTTGTTAAATTTTGCTTTTAGTGGGAATTTTTAAACTTCCAGTAGAAATTTGCAATAGTAAAAGTTTCAGTGGTATTATTACTGTAATTTTCTTCCAGTAGAGTTCCAGCGAGGCTTCTAGTCAACAACACTGATCAAGAATCCTTATTTAAATATGATAAAGGTCAAAGATTCGGGCCAAACGCTCTACCTTCCTTTTACTAAAGATTTTAGAATTATGTTAAAGCATATTTGCTACGTACTACATATTTTATGGTAAATTGTTTTTTAGTAAATGTTATTGTGCGAAATTCAATGTTCTCAATATTCTGAGAACATAATTTACTACTCTATCTAATAAAATGTTTAGTTATTATACTTTTATACCGAGAATATTAAGGAATTGAAGAAAAATCAAAATTGAATTTCACACGCTGATCAAACGGTAAAATAATGTAATTATGTTACACAACTTAGTATATTATTATTTAATTAATACGAAGTTTTTTAACTTTTTGTCTAGGAGGGTCATTATAAATAAAAAAAAGATTCCGTGATTCATGTTCTAAAATTTTAATTGTAGCTGCATTATTTTTAAGAATTCCACCATTCATAGTAGTTTTTCGAAAAAAAAAAGATACTTGCATATGATTTTTTTTTTCAACTGTGCTACAAGAAAATGCTTTTAACCCCCATCGTTTATGGTTTTGATGTAACTCCCATCTGTGAAACACTAAAAAATGAATGTAGGGAGTTACATGATTTGGTAAATAGAGGCCTTTTGCGGATTTTTTGGATCTCTTTCATCGGGTTTTAGAAAAAGTTTTAACCATTCGAATGCCAGATGCTTTAAATATAAAGGGTCACTATCTTGATTACACATCACCATATATAGTTCAATAAATTTGTCTCACAAAGACTGAATTAGTTGGGCTCAGCTTGGGCGAAAAAGAGTAGATAAATTAAAATATTTTAATACTTTAATTTTATCATCGCCAGACAATGATGTGTATTTCCACTTGGTGGATTCTTCCCAAAACTGAAATTTGATACCGAGACGATCCATTTCATCCACGATAATTTGGCGGCTGATATTATTAAATAAATTCCGTTCTTTAATTTATGACAACATTAAAGTCCAGAGCCGATAATCAACCCGTAATAATGCATGCAGCTCATCAAATACATAGTTGGACAAAGGAATCATATCAAATAGTGGCAGTTTGATATGACCAGGTATGTTAATATAGTTGTTATTTTTTAAATCGCTCATTGACTTTGTAATACACCAGTCCTGTATTATATCACCAATTTCATGCTTGGAACAAAGACACCAAGCACAAAAATGATTCGAATTGGCTGCATTTAGTCCAAGACAGATTGAGAGAAATTTCCAATCACTACTAAAATACAGTTCAAAGTGCCAAAAAATACCTTCAACCTCCAACCCGTTAACCTTAAGATCTCTAAGATTATTGAGAAATGGATTTAATATGACCTCAAGCGACTTATATTTCTCAATTCCTGGATATAACGCGATAGTATGGTGATAACTAGGTATATGATGGTGCTCTTGATCATTAAGAATCATGAAGGTCATAACATGTTTAACTTTCTGACCTACATTTCGGCCATCACCAGAAATTTGCAAATGGATTATCAGATTATTAATTGATAATATATCTTCACGTACTAAATAAGGAATTAGATATCAAAGAATTTCTTTACAATCACGATATCCACCAACACCCACTGAGTTTAGAACTTTATTATAATCTATATTATCAGACCCTTCTTCAACATCTTCTTCAACATCTTCAACATCATCTTCAACAATTTCCAAGCTATCTAGTTTCGTGTTTATATCAACAAGTTTAATTGGAATGTCTTTAGTCATTCTTTGGGTTAAATTATTTCGTTCAATTACAACAAGGTGTTCACGTGGTAAGTGATAATCTATTGCAGCTAAACTTCGATAAGCATCATGAGAAATATAATTCGAATCCATTATTTTAACTATATTTAAAATATCATACTCTTTTTGTGCATTATCTGTTCCAAAGCTAAGATAATAATTCTGGCCGTTAACAGTATATTCAAACGACTTTAATAAAATAGAGTCTTTTTTATGATATTTAAACACAGAATTTTGAATAAATGTTTCTTTAATCATTGCTGCAACATCTTTTGCACGCTTATCAAGTGCTGATTTGGAACAATGACCTGCAGATTTAATTAAATCTTGTCTTGGACGCTTATTACGATTTGTCGAATTAATTAAATATTTCCTATTTCAAGATTCTCTAAGCGTCTGGAGCTGTAATCCTAACAACAATGGTCCAGATAATCGACTCGTTTTATTTATAGCCTTTCCATAATTTGTTGCAGCCATGGAAGCATATATACACGATTTAACTTTATATTCAAGAAAGTTACCAAATCGAATTTGAAATTCCGGGCTTCCATTTTTATATACTATTTTACACTGAACGGTTTGCTGATTTTCACCATGTCCCCAGCTGGTTCTCACAGAATAATTATCAGGGATTGAATACTTTTTAGGAGGCAATGTATAGCGAAGTTGAGAAATATCTGGATAAAACTCTTCTGTCTCTATAAAATATTTAAATGACCATTGTGCTATATTATTTTTTTTTTCTTTATAAGTAATTGTGGGACTTTGAGGATAATCTCCTAGCTCAGAAGTTTCTAATTCGATTTTATTTGGACTATTTAAGCAGTTTGATATGACTGTTGATTAAGTGGTAAATTTTTTTAAAAAGATATTTTTTGTAGAAGATTTTATTCAAAAAGCACCATATTTAAGGTTTATATTTTAATTATAAGCATGATCATTCTAGCACGATAAAACACAATCATTCCCGTCACAATATATTAATTATAAGCACGATTATTGCAGTACCAAACAAAAGCACTGATAATAAAAATTAAAATCACATTAGCATGATAAATTAGAAAACAAACACACACAAATAAATATTAAGATGTTGAACGTGTAATCTAAAAGAGACTATTACAATATATGCATCATGCTTAATCGATCAATCCAACATCGATATCAACTCAATAACCATGTGCCTCAGAAATACTTTACGGTTAGCGCTATTGCTAATTTTATTATCTACATTGTCTTTATTCTAAATTAGCATTAGACATTTTATGCCAAAATCAAATATGCTATTTATATAATTATGATCTCTTGTTACCCTAGTAAGTTATTCTTAACAAAAGAAAGAAATATCTCGAACAAAAGACATTTCATCACAATCTAGCGTCTTCAGTCTTAAGTATAATTGTAAAATAACTTTTTCGAATTAGATTACTGATTTTTTTAATGTTGAACCCATAAATTTAAACGTACATATGATTGTCTACTTTATGCAATACTATGCAGTAGCAAAATAAGTTATAACTTAAATTCAAAAAGGAAATTTATACCATTGCTCAATCAAAAAGAGAATTCAAACAAAAAGCACACTCATCTTAATAATGACAAGCATTATTCATAAATATTCTAAATTTGCCTT